AAAAAAAAAAAAAAAAAAAAAAAATTAAAAACCCAAACATTCCACAGATTCAAATCCCAACCCAAAGACAGAGGAAAAGCAAAACAAGCTACTGCAATTCTACTCAAAATAATGAATCTTTTACCCTTTTTAGCCAGTTCTTCAATTTTATGGATGCAACTTTTCAGTTCTCTTTGCAGCCTTCTGACTTCCTGTGTACTCTTATCTTCATTATTTTTGTGGTTTGACTTTGGCCCTGGCCCTGGATCATGGGTGGGCGGAGAATCTGGAAGAGCTGGCATTAACTTGTTCTGATTTGGTGTGTAGACGTACACTTTTGCCCCAGAATTTGTGATCTCTGTTTTGGATGGCTGACCAAGTTGCTGCTGCTGTCTTAAGCGTGTCCGAGACTTCAAAGCATGCCTCCCCTCGACCCTTTCAGATATGCCAAATGGACGCTGTTCAGGCTTCTGGAGCAGCAATGATTTACCCTCAGCATCTCCGAGCACATGCCGTTTCACTTGTTCTTCTAGGTGCCTTCGTTTTACATCCCTTTTGGCTAGCTGGATGGCCAATTTGAGTTTCTCTTCTGATACAACCGAAAATATGCTAGAGCTTGTAAAGCTGGGGCCATCTCCACCACCTAGATCTCTCTGATTATCAGGCTCCTTCACCTTTTCTATTATAATTGGACGAGGACTAGAGAATCTGACAGCCAAGTTCTCTGGAACTGCAGGAACATTCCTATTGAACTGGAGCTGTTCCAAAGATGAAACAAAAACATGAGGCAACATGATGCAGTTTATTGCACAGATGACGCAGATCTGATATGAAGTAACAAGGGCAAGGACAACTCCTTTCATGTTAGAATTTATTATATCATCACGGTACTTGTCCCGTGTCATTTTTGTTCAAAAAGCATTCCCCCTACTCCGAACAGCAGCAAGATTTTAAATTTATTTGAAATCAAATGCATGTTTTAGCACCTAGATACTTTCAAAAAAATCTCAGGAGGGACCGGCCTGCACCTTTTGGTGTGTAAATGTTTTTAGAAATCTGGCCCAAAGAGGCTGGGAAGTGGATAATGTCTCTACTTAGAATGTTATTAAAACAAAATAATATTGATTTTTTAAACTACGGAAATGAGGGGAAAGCTGCACGAAAGTAAGAAGAAATGGAAGATTCAGAAGTGGGACCAGGACCAAGCATTTAGGTGGCGCATCAAAATGGGAAGGACTAGCATTATTGGGCATTTACACACATACCTTTTCGTCCCACAACACACCGGAGGTCTGGCAGGTCGGAGCAGACTCGATGAATTGAGTCTGCTCCACGCGTGACCCGATGCGCACTGTGCTGCTTCGCACGCCGTCATACACGTGGCGAAACGCACGTCGCCAGGCAGAAAACAGCAGCAGCGCGCTGTTGAACTCAAACACCTCCGACGTGTTTTCATTCAAAAGCACGCTGCCTTTTGCTCCGGTTGCCACTTATACAATCATATGCGGCGCGGTGCCGGGCTCTTTTAAAAGTGCCCAGAGCTACGGTGCAAACATACGTACGCACGCCCTTTTGATCTGAAGATCGGGGCCCGTACGGAAGGAGTGAATATGATGTCATTAGACGATATGATGTCATTGGAAGCTGCCCCTGGGGCCTCTCAGGACAAGGGCGACGATGGCCGCATCGTGTCACGCCTCACGAATACCTGCGTCTTTGCTCTGTCCTTGTCGGGTCGCGCACAGGACGCGGCCGGTTGGCTTGGTCCCATCAGACGCTCGGGTCCCGAACGTCCACGGTCATTTGCCCTTCGCTTCGATAACGAGCGGACGAGGAGCGGGTGCCAGTTCTTGTCTTTAAACGCACATCATCTCTGTAACAGACAGGAAACGAAGCAGCTTTGAGAACGGCCCCTTTTACCTGGCTGGCGGGGACTCCCCCTTTGTTTGAGACATGAAAAAGAAGGATGCCGTTTCTCATTGAGAAGAGACTCAGCGGGTCTCAGCTCTTTTCCTACCAGCTGTAAACGTGGGTAACTCGCGCTGACCCCCTGCCCTCAGCCCCCATGGGCGTGCGGGGCGGGCAGGCCTTGCAGGGCTGCGGACAGGAAGTGGGGTTGCCATGGAGACACCCCGGGTTCCACTCACCCCCGAGAAACAGGGAGGGGGGGGGGACTGCGCGCTCCTGACCCCTCCGCGCTCCCGTAGGTGACGCAGCGCGCCGGAACGAGGCGCGTAGGCAGGGCAACCGCCACCGTAGGGGCTATCGGGAGCGGCAGCTACGGGTGCCGCGGGCGGCCAAATCCGGCGTGGGGTCCTGTCGGCCGCCGTAGGCGCGGGTAGTCGGGAACCATGGGCTGGGAAGAGAAGCCGGTGCGCGGCTACGCGGAGTTCGCGCGGACGGCGCAGCAGCACCACGGCCGGCCCATCTTCGTGCTCTTCAGCGGCGACAAGGACGCCGCGGGCCACAGCTGGTGCCCGGACTGCGTCACGGGTGAGGCCCGCCCGGCTCTTGCAGGGAGCCCCCGGGGGACTCGCCCCCTGCGCCAGCAATAAGGCGGGAGGGGAGGGGATGCCGGGTCCTTGTACACGCAGCGTGGGCGGGGGTTGCCGTGATGTGCATCAGATCGCACCTGAGGGTTTAGAGGGGCCTTAGGTGACATGGAGAAGACCACCAGAACCGGGGGGACGGCGGGCGGGGTCCCCGCTCTGGTCACTGCCGGCAAAAGCGCATCTTCTGGGGAACGGTTTGGCTGGGGCGGGAGGCGGACAGACAGGCTCGCTGGCGATAGAAGTGATTTTATCTTAAGGTGCCGAGGTAGGATATTAATGCTCTCGATGATGATACTGTTTAGCTGAACCGGTGATACGGAGCGAACTGCACAACATGCCGGAAGGATCCATATTCATCTACTGTCAAGTGGGAGACAGAGCCTAGTAAGTAAGGGTGTTCACAACACGTGTTTCCTGCTAACTGCTTGTGCTGCTTTGTGCCAGATAACTAGGGAGTTAGGCCGGCAGTGCCATGATCCAAACCTGTTTGAACTGAGAGATTCTTCTCCCAAGTCCTGGGTTGGTATAGGCCTTGAGTTGACCATCTGCATCTTCGTCATGACAAACTGCAAAAAAACATTTCCTTTTATAATGTAGGATCGTACCTCTAAAGTAATGTAACGCAATCCAACTTGGAAAGTTACGCCTTCTTGGCTAAACACAGCCTTTTTTATCCTCTTAATAGAAGCACAGGCAGTCCTCGGACTTTCGACGCAATTGGTTCCTGAAAACCGTGTCATAAGTCAAAACAGCGTAACTTGGAACCAATTTTCCCATAAGAAACAACGTTATAAATGGGGGATTGGTTCCTGAACCAAGGCCCGATACCCTATTTTCACCAAAAATACCCCAGAATGTTGTACTCAATAAAGGATTGATGAGTAATATAGCTACATTAATGCGTTTATCTTGTAAATAGCAGTCATATTGATTTGGAAGGACTTCTCTGAAGTGACTTTGCTGGACGTTTTGAAGGGCTCTTGGCTGGAGTCTTCTCAGGAGTCTTGGCTGCAGGTTTTTCTGGAGTCTCGTCTGTTTTTTTAAAGAAAGTGTCCAAGGACGTTTGGACAGATGTTCTCCAGGGAGATGAGTGACGCAGCAAATTTGTTGACCGGCATGGTGTTGCGTCAGATCAAGCATTGTAAAGTCAAAACTGACGTCATAAAGTTGGAACAGCATGTCAATTTATAAACATTGTATAAGTCGAGGACTGCCTGTATGAGCTTTGGACTTCACGATAGTTTAAACCTGCAGAGGGTGCTCCACTGCAGTCTTCCTGGCTAGTTCTGCATGCTAGCAATATACAAATCAGCCATGTGCCAAGAAAACAGGAACTCCTTTTGTTTAAATGGCAGGTGGAAAGTTAGAAAACTTTAGCTAACTGTTCTTTTTCTAAACAGCTGGAAAGATCCTAACAACGAGTTCAGAAAGAATCTGAAATTAACTGGAGTACCTACACTACTTAAATATGGGACTGTAAGTACTTTCCCTTACATGGTTGAATTTATGCCATGTTTAAATGAGTTCAAACTGACGAGATCTAACAGGTTTCTATGTGTTCTGCACACAACACTTCTGGTGTTCTGTGGAGCTGTCTTTAACCTCCTCCCCTGTGGCTAATTCACTGTTTCACTGTCCGTCAGTACAGACTGTTCCTCTTTCTGCAGTTCTGCTTGTACTAGTGATCATGGAGAAACTACTAAAGCTCATAGGCAGTGTAGCTGAGCATCCACAATTGTGGCCAGATTTTCAGAAGCGTTTTGAATGCAGCTGAAGAATTAAGGTAGCTTTCCAATCTATAATATGCAGTTCAGTTCCTCCTCTTTAGACAAGATAAACCACTAGATTCTCTTGAAGTAGAACAAGGGATAACACAATTACTATTTCTGACCAAAGCTGATTAAAAGTGATCTCCAGAGCTAAAATGCCAGCACAGTAAACCAACAAGATCATTCTCCGACAAGTTGAACTTTAATTCTAAATTGTGCAAATCTGAGGGAAAGGCATCTTGAACATTTGTACTTTGTAAACCAGCATATTTAAAAACAGACTAGCAGGGAAACTGGTGAATAGAAAAGCTGAAGGTATTTTAACTTTGTAAGGAAAGGATCTCTGCATGCCCTGTATAGTTTAGACAAAGTGGAAGGAAACCCAGCTTATGGAATGCTACAGTAGTCTTCATGCGTAGCTAGTAAATACCTCTTTTGTGCAAGGAACTTGTTCAAAATGTTTTTAATTTACCTTTCCTGGAAAGATAAATTTGAATTCTCTTTTGCAGCCTCAGAAGCTGGTAGAAGAGGAATGTTTTAAGGCAGACCTTGTTCGCATGTTGTTTACTGAAGATTAAGTCTGGACTCTTCAGTAGTCAATCATTTATCTAGAAACTGGATGTTTGTATCTTCTGACTGTAGTTAGATTTTACAGAGTCAATTTCATCTGCTGGCCAAAACACATATCATGAAATTCTGGGTGCAGATCATGTGAGGGGAATGTGAAACACTAAGGAACTGTAATCTATGCTTTTGCTGAATTAAACTCATTTGCAACAACCTGTGTATCAATTTCTTTGGAAAAAGTAATTTTAATTATATGGCTTGGTGTATATATATAAGATGTGTCTGAGAAATATGCAGAAAACACTTAACCCCATATGGTTTCACTTCCCAAATGGTGAATGTACAAAATTAACTATTTTTCCTCTGTTCAGTGTAATGACATGCAAATAGCTTTTAACCAAGGAGTTAATCAGCCTAGTTAATAAGACTCCTGACCATAGTCAGATACTAGCTGTTTTGGAGTAAAAGTCAAACTGTAGCTCATTCTTTTACAAGAACAGTTACATTAAGCAGTAATATACACAAATGCAGTAACTCTACAAACTTGCTTATGGATTCGGTACTTAATTGTATTCCTTTCCTTTAGTAACTGTAACTTAATTTTTTAAGTCAGAATGCCCAAGGCGAGAGCAGCTTACTCTGCAGAAACACTGCATAGCTCCTCTAGAATTCATTCCATGGTACTAAGAATGATACTACCCTGCATCATGAAAACATACTATAGTTGTACACTCAAGATTAATTTATTGAAATATTCAGGGTTCCTAGATACAACTGGAGAGCACAATATAACTATTTGAAATTAAAAAACAAATAACCAGCAAGACTGTGAACCTGGACTGTTAATAAGCTTATGCCTGAATCATGATAGATAAAGGAAGTGACAGCTCACTCAAAGTCAACTGATGACTTTTTATCCCATCAGACTTTTTCTCTCTAGTGCTCTAGCCCAAGTTTTCTAGAATAGTGGTACTCAACTTAATAGCTGTGCAGTCCAGACAAATGACCTGGGGTTGGCCCACGAGCCAGATCCCACACGGGATTGACCTGTAGGTGTGACCAGCCCAACCCCATGTGCAGGGTGACATTAGCCAGCCTGTAGGGCTCCTCACAGGTCCAGAAGTTTGGCAGCAGAGCAGCAGCAAGTAATGCTGCCACTACTCTGCCCCCAAATTTCTGGACTGGTGAGGAGGAGTGCACAAACCGATGCAGATCTGTAGACTGGTGGTTGAGCACCACTATTCTAGAAACAACTGGATGCTTGTTTTACTAGTGCACAGAAAGCTGCTTACGTAAGACCAGCAATCTCATTCTACATACTGTGGTCACTAATATTTTGAAAGATTAAAAATAAAGTTATTCCATGATGCGGAATAATAAAGAATAGAAAACTAGAACATCAAGCCGCTCTTTGGTGCAAAAATCACTTCACAGAGCCACAGTGGTAGCCCTATACAACAGGAACATGCATTATAAGCACACTGAATCTGAAAATTCGTTCAGTTAATTGCTAATGTAAGAATGGGTTGTCATGATTTTGCTCTGGCTTTGTAAGAGTGTTACTGAGGACAGTCAGTCAGACACTGGAAAGTATCCACCCTGCATTTAACCTTGCCTTCAAAACGAAGCTCCATCAGTTCTGTACAGCACAAACACATTAGAAGTTTAGGCAAGACAAAATACTGTCACACCTTTTGCCATGAATCATCCTAGCTTCTATCACATCACAGAGAAATCTCTTAAGATTAAGACCAGTTTCTTCCCATTCTTGTCATCAAATATGCCTTCCATCAGGGTAAAAAGGATAAAAACCCTCACAGCTGCCTTCAGTAGTTGGGTTATTATGTACAATTATTTGTAATAATTGCCTGCCTCCTTTGGACCTACAAGAAGCTGAAAGGCTCCCAAACCAGTTTTATTAAAGATAAATGCTTCTCTACCTTCTGAAATACCAGCAACATACTTCAGAGAAGCAGCTACCTGAGAGCAGCCTTTATAAATTAGCTAGAATTCTGCCAACCCTTAGCAGTCTAAATTAATACATTAATTTTCCTGGAATAGAATTAGGGTTCTTTTGTAGCTGCACCACCTCTTTTCCACTGATAAATTTTACACTTAATATTTTCAGAAACCTCCCTTCCCCCCACAAATATTTTAGCTGTTGTAAATTTGGTTTCCTCTGCTAAAATGTTGGCAAAAAAAGCAGCACTAGACAAGGAATCGTTAACAAAAGTACAGCAGCAGTCATAGCCACAGCCTTGCTTCAAGATGGGCATGTGCACAATTAAGATTTTCTGTAACACATGCAATTACATGGCTTTGATACTCATGTGACAGGTGCTTAAATAACTGTATTGAATTTTCAAAACAGATCCATCAACAGAGATGTAAGTCTGCAGTTAATCTTAAGACTTTGTCCTTACTACAAAATACACATCAGCTACACCGCGCTGAAATGGATACAAGTTGCTCCCAGAAAAAGGTCACTTAATAACCAAAAAAAGATGTTTTCTATTCACATACACACATTAAGTTATGTACATCACTAAGACCAAACCTACAAAATTCAGTCTATTTTTCTTCAAACTAAACCGATGTGAAGTTCATGCTGCCACAGGTTATCCAGAATTTTCATTTGACTGAAGTGTTGTTCTGTTGTTGCTGCTCTGCTAGTGCCTGCTGAAGACGCATTCTTTTCCGTGAATAATGTTGCCAGTGAAGAATCTGTTGTTCATCAATAAATTTAGCACACTGGGCATTTACCAGTTCTTTACGAAAGTGTTCATACTGAAGCAGCTCTAACATGTGTAAACACTGAGGATACCTAGTTTAAAAACAAATGGTGTATTTTAATTCAAACTTTTACATGGTAGACCACTGCTAGATCTAATATGTCATTTTAATAACATAGTTGCAATGTATTATTTTACAATTTTAATATGTAGATCAATGGTTTTTGGCCTGTGGTCAGTAGACCCCTGGAGGTCCAAAGACTATGCGTAAGGGGTCTGCAAAAGATGACTACAATCAAAAGTGTGCAAATACCCAAACTTACAATTACATTTTTAGGGGTCCGCAAATAAAAAGGTTGTAAACCACCACCAACACAGACATTTACAAAATCTGAGGTGCTTCTGCTCATTAGAATTCAAGGTATTCATAATGATAGCATGAATTAAGATAACATGAATTATTTTACAGAAGAAATGTAGCGCCATCATCAAATACAGGGCTTCTAGGTTTATCTGTTTATTTACATTTCTTATAAACCACACCACACTAACCATATCAGTTATGCTGCCAATACTTTCATCCTCCAGATTGAGAAACAAGAAGTCCAATCAAACCTTTATACCAATACAATTTTCACTTTGGGCATTACACTTGTATGGGTAGACAGTTTTCCTGTAAGCTGCTATGTATCAACTCTATGGCCCAGCACACACAAACAGGGATGTGCCCACAAATAGTTTGTGCCACAGTGCATGCCCCTACCCGTATGCTTTGCAGCAGGCCACATTATCCCGCTGTTCCATGTGCTGCATGGGAGGGCTGGCTGGGGTACAGAGTGCCTCAGCAGGGGCTAGCCATCCCCTGTGCTGAGGCATCCTGTGCCCCAACCAGCCAGGGAGCAAGGATGGGGGAGCAGGCAGCCCAAGGCTCCCCAATTTGCATGCACTGTGGAGTACCCGCACTGAGGCACCCTGCACCCCAGCCAGCCACTCCCCACCTGGCTGGGGCACAGCGTGCCTTAAGGCAGGGGAGCAGGCAGAAGCTGGCTGGGACACAGTGTGCTTCAGCCTGGGGGATCCATGTGCCTCAGTGCGAGGGTGCCGCCCATGCTGAGGCATGTGGAGACAGAACCAGCAAGCTAAAGGCTGCCTGCTCCCCATCACGGCACAGTGTACCTCAGTGCAGAGGCTCCACATGCCTCTGTGCAGTGGAGCCCCCACACTGAGGCACGCGGAGACAGGACAGAAGCCAGCCCAGGACTGCCTGCTTCCCTGGGGAGTGGCTGGCTGGGACACAGAGTGCCTCAGCACAGGGGCTCCACAGTGGGCAGAAACAGGGGAGTAGGCAGCTTAGAGTGCTTGCCACTTTGGCACAGGTTGCACTGGTTTTTTCCAGGATTTTTTTTTTTTTTTGCTACTGGGAAATCCCAGTAGCAAAGTTTGCCCTGGCACTGGAAATTAATGTGCAACTCATGCAGTTTGTGGCGTTGCAAAGAGGCTTGCAGTGCCACAAACCACACATGCCTGCACATCTGGATCCAGCCAATAACTATTCAGTTTCTGAACTGTGTGCGTAAAAACAGAACTAGAAAGATCAGCTTTCACAAAATCTTAGAGAAAGTTGTTAAGGCTGTTATTCTTAGAGAAGGCTATTAAGAAGTATGCAAAAAATCTCATACTTTTTTTGGTGTTGCTTAATAACTCTGCAAATGTGTTTTTTGAGACTGTCTCATGCTTTACAGCACCAAAATGTTCAAGAATAATATTAGCTATCAGCAAATGCTAAGGCAGTTCATACAAGATACCAAAGTAAGGGCAGGACTACTGGGAGACAAGTCCTACCCATTTGTCCAGAAAATTATATATACAAGCTGTTCTGATGCCTGGATTACAGGAGAAACAAAACATGAATTAAAACTACACATGAAAATCAAATATCAGTGTACTGTTATATAGCGCACATTGTAAGGTATCTATCACATTATTACATGGCATAACGCAAAATAATATAAACACTTACTTAAGGTATTTGGCATATTCAGGCTCCTTCCAGTAAAGTAAATATTTAAGATAATTTACAAAAGCTTTATCTTTGAAGTATCCTCTCTGTGCAAGAACTGAAACAAGAAACAAATAAAAATGTAGCAACGCTACATGTAAAAAGGAAATGGCCGCTAAAGTGTCACAAACAAATTTACATGCCACCCAGAAGAAGCATCTGTTGTTAAAAGAGTACTTCTATTTTTTTTTAAATCAACTCCTGTTACAAAAATCAGAATTGTAATGAAAAGCTCAACAGGTATTCCTTGTTTCTGGTAAGTTTATTCTGCATATGGCTAGCACTCCGGGCACAGGGAATTTAATACTTTCCCCTTTTGGTGCATGTCATTTACCTAGCAATAAAACCATGTGCAATGTTTTAAAAATAGGAAATACTGATTGTAAAATAATAAAATTCTGGCAAAGAGCTTCAGGGTGGGTATAGTATCTGCACCTGAATCTATTTTTAAATGATCAAAATTTCAAGTTGACACTATCCCCATGGATATATTTAAAATGTCTCCATGATATGTTTCCATGGCTTTTAGCAATTTACTTAGATATTCATATTGGCACCTATTGCCAAGGCACCTGGCATGCAATTCATAAATGAAAATAATTATTACACAAAATAGAACATTGCCTATTAATAGAAAACCCATTCCTACTTGGCCAAACAAAGGAATTTTACAAATTAAGCAAACTTCATATTATCACTAGGTTAAATAATTCAGCGCCCTTTTTTTGTATTGTTCCCCATCTCTCTATTATGCATTCCAGGAATAGGGAACACAAGTAACAACAGTAAAAGCCCTGTTATCCAGCACAAGTGGGGAATAGGGAGGTGCTGAGTATCTAAAAATTCTGGTTACCTGAGGCCAATGGTTTTTGGGCGGGGTGTCAGTAAGGGTGGCAGCAGCACAGTGTGGACATTTTGGCTGGATACAAAGCAGGGAGGAGGTAGCGGTGGCCACAGTGGCGGCAGCACAGGGTGGATGTTTTGACCGAATGCAAAGTGCTGGTAGCACTGGGTGGTGGCAGTAGCGGTGGCGGCCACCACATGCGAGCTTCCCTCCCCACCCCCGCACCGTGTCTGGCTGGCCGGCCGAAATTCCGGTTAATAGAGTATTCTGGTTAGTAAAATAATGGATAACTGGGCTTTTACTGTAATATTAAATTTTCAGGTACCCACAGTTGAAATTTCAACTACTTACAGTTGAGGTAATTTGGGTTTGCCAGACACTGGACAAATTCTAACTCCAGCTGGAAGCGAAGTCGATTTCCAGTATCATCTGAAACAGAGGAAGTAGATCAGAAAAAGGAAGCTCAATCTATGAAGACCATAACTAGGAAAAAGCTATTAAGGACCTGATGTCAGATTATGCTGCTCAACTATCTGAGACAGTAAGAAACAAGCAATGTATTCCCCAAAAAGATTCAGATTCATTTTGAAAAATGGCTCTTACCAGTTTTTAAAAGTTGTATGTCAAAAGAATTGCGTGTGGCCTTGAAATCGAAAGGGAAAAATTACTACTGAAGACACCACATTGCAGAACCAGGGGCTAATGAAAGCTGCACTTAGTTTTCGCTTTGAAACCCCCACTGCCACGTCCCTCTGCACGGAGATAAGACCTGAAATAACTTAGTTTTTGAAATGGGGTGCAGCACAATTCACAAAAGTTATGGAAGGGTACCTTGAGTCTAGAAAGGTTGAAAAGCACCAATTTAAAGACCTCAACCAATAGGGAACCCTTATGTTAACTATAGCAACAATTAATTAATAAAGGGTACACTTTACTACGAGTCTAATTTACCTAGCTTTGCCTGACAAAACTCTAGGTCTCTTTCTGCCGGACTGGCACAAACCACAATCATATCAGCTCTTAACCTTCTCCAAGATACACTAAACAAATTGAGTAGGGCTGCACCGATAAAGATTTTTTTGGCTGGTACCAATGGCCGATTATTACCCAGCCATATCGACCAATACCAACCCGATACTGACAGTAAGTCGGGGGGGGAGGGGGATATCAAGGTCCCCACAGTGAGGGAAGGAGTGGGGCAGGTGCAGGCGCTGCCCAGCCAGGACAGTGAATGCAACCTTAGGATTGGGGTGGAGCCACAGATGGCTCAACTGGGGGGGAGTGGGGGGGCATGTGGTCCCCTCGATTTGTGTGTGGGGTGAGGGCAGGCTCCGGGCCAGGGGCTGTACCAGCCTCTTTGGGGGAGCAAGGAGGGGCACTGCACTTGGGGTGGGGTGGGCAGTGGCAGCACTGGGAGGGGTGGGCTACAGCCACCCCAAAATCCACAATAGCTACCACATAGCCACCCCCTCCCCAGTACCACTGATGCCCACCCCGCAGCCCCGTCATGAGTCAGAAAACCAAGGGTAGCCTTGAACATCCCAGACTAACCAAGGCATGTGCATGCACATCTATACACACAGAGCAAAGCAGACACACAGCACTGGCTTTTGGAAGCTGAGGCTCATTTCACAGCACCTGATGTGTGTGTATCTATCTGTATGTGGGGGCATGTGGGTGCATGCATATCTATCTGTATGTGGGAGAGGGTGTATGTGTATCTATCTGTATGTAGGGGGTGTCTGTATGTATGGGGGTGTATCTACCTGTACGTGGGGGGGTCTGCATATAGCAGGGTATCTGTCTGTAGGTGTGTATGTGCGTGCGCATGTATCTATCTGTATGGGGAGGTGTGCGTGTGTATCTGTATGTGGGGGGGTGTGGGGTGGGAAGCAGGGGGTGTATCTATCTGTATGTGGGGTGGGGTGTAGGTGTTTCTGTATGGGGGGTGTATCTATCTGTACGTGTGGGGGGGGTGTATCCATCTTTATGTAGGGGTTGTGTGCATGTGTATATATCTGTACATGGGGGGTGTATCTGCATACGAGGCGTACACCTATATTTGGGGATGCGCACGCCTGCGCGTAGCTATAAATAGGGGTGCACAGGCCCTGTGCATCCATATAAGGGTGCATGCCTGTGCGCACACTCACACACCGCCCCACCCACCCCCGCAGCACAAGCCGTTGCAGGCCGAGGTCCCCCTGGATCCACTTCTCCCCGCGAGGGCCGAGCCCCACCGCCCCACTCCCCGGGGACCCTCCAGGGCTCCCGCCGCAGCAGCGTAAAAGCAAGGCGGAGGCCCCCGCTCCCGCCGCCAGGTAGGGTCCTGCGGCAGCCGCCGCCGGCGGAATTGGGGTTGGGATGCGAGCGGCGGGGCCCGAGCCTCACCTGTCTCCATGGCGACCCCGGCGGATCAGGCCCCGCGGACCCAAGATGGCGTCGCCCCGCCCCAGCCGGAAGCCACCCGCCGGCCCGCCCGCGGTGCATGGTGGGAACCGCGCTGGCGCAGACGCGGCCCCGCGCGGTTGCCCGGGTAACAGAGCCCTGCTCCGCCCCTAAGAGCCCGCCGCCGGGTTCGCCCGGCCCGTGACGTCACCCGCGCTCTGTTATGACGTTTCTCTTATCCCTAAATGAATCCTTCCCAATGGCAATGACAAAGGGTCTCCTGGTTATGTTTCGTCACAGCGCTCCTGGTGGGAGTGGTGCGGGCTTTGCAAGCCAACGCGGTTTTTAAAACTTCCAAGACAGCAATCCTTTGTAAAAGCTGTTTGTCATTTTGAAGAGTTTCCAGTCCCTAGAGAAA